AGAAAGCAGCCAGGTCCAGGGAACATGGATGGGCTGTGAGACAGCTCGAAGCTCATACTGTGTAACCTTGGCCCTGTCACTGACCTTCTCTGGGCCTCTGCCAGGTGAGATCTCAGGGAATCTTGGCAAGAGATGAGATGGTCTTGTTCTGTCCCCACCAGATGCTGTCGCGAAAGACACACAGCCTGAGCAGAACAGACAGCTGGACAGTCAGGTGAGCTCCACCTGGCACCTGGGGATGGGCTGTGAGACAGCTCGAAGCTCATACTGTGTAACCTTGGCCCTGTCACTGACCTTCTCTGGGCCTCTGCCAGGTGAGATCTCAGGGAATCTTGGCAAGAGATGAGATGGTCTTGTTCTGTCCCCACCAGATGCTGTCGCGAAAGACACACAGCCTGAGCAGAACAGACAGCTGGACAGTCAGGTGAGCTCCACCTGGCCCTGAGCAGGGCGCCCACACCTTGTCCACACACTACATCCAGTGAACGCAGGGGCAGTCTGAGCCCCACACAAGGGGCTGAAACCCAAGCTCTGGGCCTGCGGAGGATGCTTCTAAAACCCACACACAGGGTCCTAAAGCCTCCCTCAGCCCTCGCTGGGTCCATCCTCCTGCCTGGCCCAGGAGCCACACAGGTGCCAACAGGCTCTGTACACGGCAGACTCCCTCAGCTCACCCTAGGGCAGTGATGGCAAACCTTTTGAGCTCGGCGTGTCACCATTTTGAAAAACCCTAACTTAACTCTGGTGTTGTGTCACATAGGAGCAGGGTGACTGCTCAGTAAGCACTGCCTCATTGCCTGCCAGTGAGAGAAGGGAAGAACAACTGCATTTACAGAGACTCAGGAAAGGGAAGTGTCTTACACAAGCTCACAGAGGTTCTAGAAAAGGCAGAGTCAGAACTGGGCCAGAAATTGGGTGGGGTCCTCCCCTGCCCTGTTCCTCCACCCTCCTCACCTGGGACGGCTGTCACCCTCTGGATTTGGGTTTGGCATGAGGTGGAGGCAGAGTGTGCTGGGCATGTGGCCAGTGATGGCCCAGGGTCACTGCTCAGTAAGTACTGCCTCATTGTCTGGCCAGTGAGAGAAGGAAAGAGCAGTTGCATTTACAGAGGCTCAGGAAAGGGAAGTGTCTTACACAAGCTCACAGAGGTTCTAGAAAAGGCAGAGTCAGAACTGGGCCAGAAATTGGGTGAAGTCCTGCCCTGTTCCTCCACCCTCCTCACCTGGAATGGCTGTCATCCTCTGGATTTGGGTTTGGCATGAGGTGGAGGCAGAGTGTGCGGGGTCTGGTGAAACTCAGGTCGGTCTCAGAGGTCCCACAGCTTGCTGCCCACTAGGGCCCACCCTTCAGGGAGGGGCTACTTCCCTTCCTGTGAGGCCACTGATGAGGAACCAATGACATGTCACATGAAGCCTGGACCCTGTCACACCCCATTCACCTATCCTGGGAGGCTCTGCGGAGTTTACACATCGTCTGCACACTGAGGACCATGGGAGGACGCTCCATGACTTCCACCCTCACTGCCCTTCTCTGCCTCAGTGAGCTCCGGGGAAAGGAGGCGGGATGGGGTCCCCTCCCCTCCCAGGTCCTGGCCTTGCGAGAACCCAGGACCCAGGAGGCTCAGTGGGGACAGGACTTGGGGGGAGGAGACATGCTCAGCCCCAGGTCTGACCCCAGTGCTCAGGGGCCCGACCAGGCCTGGGGCTTCTGTGTGCAGTCGGGGACGGTTCTCACCGGGACTCTCTTGCAGGGCTGTGTCAGGGCCCGTGGGACCAGGTACAGGCAGGTGAGTCTCCTCCTGCTCCCCCATGACCTGCTGCTTCAGCACAGTCACCCCATAGGCAGCTGGGGAGACACAGGGTTGGAATAATGGTGACCAATCTGGGAGGAGCCTGGGAGTGACAGCTGGGGAAGGTGGGGAGGATGCCCCTGACATTTCAGATCTCATTCCTTTCCAGGAGACATCCCCAAACCTTCCATCTGGGCTGCCCCAGGCCCCATCGTCACCACGCCCCCGCCCCCCACCGCTCCCCCTGACCTCTTGCTTCAGCACAGTCCCCCTAGGCAGCTGGGGAGACACAGGGTTTTGAATAATCATGATCAATCTTGGAGGAGCCTGGGAGTGACAGCCGGGGAAGGTGGGGAGAAGGACGCCCCTGACATTTCAGGTCTGATTCCTTTCCAGGAGACGTCCCCAAACCCTCCATCTGGGCTGACCCAGGTCCCATTGTCACCAACGGGAGCTCTGTGACCATCTGGTGTCAGGAGCATCTGCAGGCTAGTGCCTACGTTCTGTATAAAGAGAGGGGCTCTGAGCCCTTGGATACCAGGATCCCACAGAACCCCAGCAACAAGGCCGGTTTCCTCATTGAAGCCACGACCCCATCCCATGCAGGGCTGTACCATTGTGCATATTACACCACTGGGGACATACTCTCAGAGCGGAGTGACCCCCTGCTCCTGGTGGTGACAGGTAAGGGAGACACCAGGTCCCCTCCCCACTGTGGGCTCCAGGTCACAGGCAGAGGGATAAAGGGTGGCCTCAGGGGACCTCACCCCTCACAGAACACACCTGGGGCATGAGGGTGATGGTCCCTTTAACACAGACCCTTTCTCCTCCCTCAGGACTGGGCGGTGCACCCTCCCTCTCAGCCCAGCCAAGACCTGGGCTGGCCTCAGGAT